TTGTTTTATACAAATGCCTAGATTTACTTTTATAAAACATAAGAGAGGAAGTGACAGGTTACTTTAGGAATTCAGAATCTAGTACCAATTTACTCGTAAGCAATGTGAAGCTAATTAAGTTCATCATGGAGAGCTGCGTGGTCATCCTCTCCAACGGCCGGATTGCATTATGAGCTGGGGCTGATGACGGATGGGATGGCTTTCAGTCTTGTGATCTGAAGAAACTCAATGCAATATTTCACGTGGTAACCATACTCAAAGAAAACCTCAAAAGGAACTAAGGTTTCTGGTCTAAACACAACAGAAAATATACAATATTATAGATATCTGGTTCCCTAGGTTCACACTAAAAGGAATCAGTAAGAGCCTTAGGTCTGTAGATCAGGGTTATAGTAACAATGAACAACCACTTACTGAGAACCAACAATGCGATGGATGCTCTCTGTAGACTCTAATTCTAACAATAACCTATGGTTTAGGTTGTATTAGGATAAAAATTTGTGTTCAATGTCGTATGCTAGTAAGAGGTATAGTCAAGACTTAAATTCGTGGCTTCCTGTCCCCAAAGCCCATGCTTGTCACCATTACATGGTGCCCTCACTGCTTCATCTTACATTTAGAGAAATTAATACTCATGGAGGCAAATTGGCTTAATTAGGATCTCCCAGAGAGTTAAAAGCCAAGCCAGACTGTAAATCAGGTCTCCAGATATCCTAGTTAACGACATTTCTTAATATTCATACTACTTTAGTTTATTGAAACCCTCTCCAAAAATATTTTGAACAAAAGATAATATTATGGACTAAATATGCCACCAGATCTCAATAATTTATCTAAGTATGTTTTAATTTAATATTAAACTAAATATTGTATTCATTCTACAATGTTTCTTAATGGCTAGATATTGTGCTCTGTCCTAAAAACCTAACAATGAGCAACATATTAATTACCATTAATCCATCATCTTCATTCACTTGAGTCCTTATACTATGTTCTATATGATTTCTATTAAAATCATATTTTGAACTATCTCATTTGTTGACTCATTCAGTGCATAGCTACTGAATGCCTACTAACTGCCAGTCATTGTGCTAGGACAGGAGATACTATGGTGAGAAGACACAGTCCCTGACTTCAAGGAGCTTGTGATCCATTTGCAGAGACAAGCAAATAAATAGGAAATTAAGTTTAGTACAATACACGCTATTGTAGTACTGAAAGTTATGAGAGTCCATAGAAGGGCACCCAGAGTTCATCTAAGCTAAGATCTAAATGATAATAGATGTAATGCAGGAAAAAAGGGTAGGAAAAAAGGAATCACAGGCAGAAAGGATCACATTTCAGAACTTGTGGCTGAACCATGAAACCAGTGAAAAATCTAGTAATTCGTTTATTTATTATTATCCATTCATTTACCAAATTTTATTGGAAAATATAACATTTCTTTTTTTTCTTGCCCATTATAACTCACATAGAATGTTCAATACATTTTGAATAAATGAAGGAAGGTTAACGCATGTTGTGCTGCATGCCTGCTCTATTGTTCTTTGGCTTCTCTCTTCCGAGAGACAACGCTCACAACCTCCATTCGTAGCTTTTCTTTTCTTGACAAAGTATTAATAATGAAGAACTTGCATCCACAAATCAACACCATGGTTATGTAGACCCTTGAGGCTGTCTCACAAAATTGTGTTTAATTTGTCTCATTCAGGATAGTGGGAGCTATACTCTAGGATTGTGCTGTCCAATATGGAAGCCCCTAGACACACATGGCTATTTAAATATAAATGTATATTAATTGAAGTTAAATACAATTAAAAATTCAGTTTCTCAGTCACACTTGCCACATTTTAAGTGCTTCATAGCCATATGCTACCATACTGAACAGGGCAAGAACATTTTTATCATTGCGGAGAGTTCTGGACAGTCCTACTCTAGAATCTAGATCTTAAACTTTCCTAAACCCTTGATAATTATCTCAGAGTAGCACTGAAGAAATAATAGGCACTCAATAAACAGTTACTGATATTTTCAAATGCAACCTATTCTCTTTTAATAGCAAAGTTTCGGCTGTGAAAGTAGAAACCAACACTTACATAAAGCATTTCACATGTTTTGTGTAGCAATCAAGGTAAAAATTTGATTAATGGGCCAACGGTCTGTTTCCTGAATCTGGAAAATCAGAAAACTTCCCAGCTGTTAGTGCAACATGGCCACTTAAGCAAGACTGACCAAAAAAAAGAAAATCTCAAAGGTGACAAATTTCAATTCCATGACCCTTCATCTTGCGCTGCCCACTTTCTGGCGGAGGCGCTAATGAGTGGCACCACTGCCAAGAGTGCAGAAAGCAAAAGGGAGAAGGCGATGCCAAGGCCTCGCAGAATCGACTCTGAATAATGCAGAATTAAATAACGTTCTTCTTAAACTGATTTTTCAGACACAGGGCCAGGAAGCAAAGAAGTAACTTTATATACTTGATATGAGAGTCTAAAAAGAGTTTCAGAGGAGACGTTTGGCACCTGCATCTGAGTTTAACTCACTTTATGAATAGTCCCTCCCTGCCCATTAGGATATGTATAATTAGTTTAAATGTGTTCACTACACTGGTTTATGTGCTTGTAGCTGCACCAGCTCGACAATATCCAAACGATCATAAGGTGAAAAAGCAGAGTTAGAAGATCCATGATCATTAAGCATCAGTTTATTTGTTTGCTTATTTATTTCCTTCACTCCAAAAAGAATTAAAAATAGTCCAGAGTAACCACTGAAAGGAACCTGAGAAGCCTATTTGGTGTGTGTAGTGACACAGAAGACGTATTTTATACGTTGTGTTAAGTGTGCTAAATATATTTTGACCAGTCTTTTGTTTCTTTGTTTTCTTAGTGTCAGCGACTATAATTCTCCTTGATAGTGACTAGAAGTGGTTGGAAAATGTGACAATGCAAATATGTGACAGAGGGCACTGAAGACAAAAGCAGGAATGAAATTCCTGACTCTGCCCTCAGCCTGGAACCTTTGTACAATTAGATGGCTGGTGCAAGGAAATATTGAAATTCCAGGTGGGCAAAGGGCATGAACTTAAGATTTTAAATACAAATAAATTCCATAAGTATTTGGGAAAATATTAAGCCTTACTACTTATCAAAGAACAAATTTTAAACAACAACAAATGAGCTAATATATTTACCTTTCATATTAGCAAAATCTTTCATATAATGAGAAAACCTAATTCTGATGCAGGTAAAATAACAACCCTTTCTATTGACAGTATAAGTTATTATAACTGTTTAAGAAGAGAGCTCATCAGTATATATCAAAAGTCTTTAGAGTAGTTATGCCCTTTGACATATTAATTTTACTCCTCAAAATACCATGAATGACCTGTGAAACTGAGGAAGCTGTATTGGGAAACATATTCTCTGAAGAGTTTACACCCAAGTTTGAACAGCCTAAAACTGAAAAATAATTAAATCACACTAGACACAGAGTCATTAAAAATATGTCAACATAGAATTTCAATAATGTGGGAAAATGCTTTGTAAGGGAAGAAGTGTTACATAATTTATATTGGACATGAGCTCAATCACGTGAAGAATATATAAGAAATGTTCAAAATATTTTAACAATTGTTTGCTCTGAATAATAAGATCTTATTTTTTTCTAATTGTCCTCATTTTCTAAACTTCTATGAAAAATGAGTATTAATTTTACATCTGGCAAAATTTCCTAGTAATTCTGAATCCATAAAGCAAAATGGTAAGTTGCACTGCATATGATTTCACTACATCTGCTGGATGTAGATCTATAGACAGAGTGTAGTTGGGGTAATTTTGGTGGAAGAGAGGGAGTGGTCATGGGTCATATGTCGAAAGTCATTAAGATACAGACAGATGCTTGTGACATCACAACCTAGAAGACAGGACGCAGCCTCCTGGAACGTGAGCCTCCCATGGGTGCAGAGCAATTTTTAAGAGGAACAGAAGAGCTTCATGTGTTGCTTACAAAGTATTTTCAACGTGAAGGGGCTGAAGAGAGCATGAAATCTGAAAAAAGAGGCTGCACCAACTACTGGTTCTATGATTTTTTTATAAATTAAAAACTAGTTACATACAACACACACAAACACAGGTAACAATAGACACCTACCTTGCGTGGTTTGGGAGGATTGAAAGAGCTTGCGTATGTACTTAGCGTGATAACCTGATACAAAACATGCTCAATGAAAGTAGCTATAAACTTGGTTTCTAAGGGAATATAGGAATTACTGGTTACTGAACAGAAAAATAATGAGCAATCAGGAATCTACAAAGAAGTCCCAAGGATCACAACACGGTGATGAAGAGTTTGAGATGAGCGATGTCCAGACATCCATGCAGGCAGACAATACTAGGGCGTTCATTCCATGAGTGATAGTAGCTAAAATGATGGATTTGAAGTATCCAGCAGAGTTGTGCAAATAATAACCATTTTATGAATACTGAAAATTAAAATTCCTACACTCTTGTGACCAGATTTAAGCTTAAAAAATGATCTGTTTTGCCCAAGTGATACAAGTGCTCTCAGGGGTGCAAATTTCAGTGGTACCCTACCTGGCTTTGTGTGCTATAAGCTCATTAGCCTGGGATGTACATGGCATTGTATAGGTTGGTCCAATGTGCCTGTCAGTCGTTACTTCCTAAAATATCACATACATACTCTCTACTGCTTGTGATTTATGTGCTCCTTTGTCTGTTTCTTTACTTTTTGTGTAAATCCCCTCTGCTTAGTATTTGTTGAATGAACTACTGAATGAATGAACAACTGTAAAGATAAACTTATAGTATCAAGTTATCCACCATTTTGCTTATGCATTAAAAAAAACAAAAACAGCATAAAACTGCCTCTTTGAATCTCTGCTGCTGTTGCACAGATTGATTTTTAATGATTTTTGGTTGTCTGTTCACACGCATCTTGAAATAAACATGTGAGTTTCAAAACTGACATGACCATTTGGTTTGCAGCGGCTGCCGCAGCAGACATGGCTTACCACCACATCAGACCTCCCATCGGCTATTCCATTCCCCAGCCCATATCTTCTCTGCTGATGCGAGGGTGGAACGCGTGTCCTGAAGTGAGTAATTTTTTTATTTCCTCTTAGAAAATGTGTGATGGTCAAAATCTGTCACAAAGAGTGCAGCACCAGTCTACTTTTGGCGTGTATTTTAAGACTGTCAAGGCAGGACGACTGATTTGCCTTCTGCTCTTTAGTCTCTAATTGCCTCAAGAAGTCTGAGTATCTCATATTCCTCTGCTGCTGCTCTCTGATTTTGAAATGTTTCTCACAACTGATTAGTAGAAGAGAGACCAGGGTATGACAGATGACTCAGTCTCATCTCAGCTGCAATTTTATTAACCACGCTTGAGCGGCACTTAAGTCATTTTCCGAAGAAAGGAGTTTGGCACGAGATGGATCTGCGTGGGCTTTTCACCCTGAGGCCAAGGCCCCTTGGTCAGTGGTCTGAGAAGCACGGGCTCAAGCAGGAGGCAAGAGACCTGGCCCTAGTCCTCTCTCCGAGTGGCTATGTGATAATGCAATTAAGAGTACAGATGTAGAGTCCAAATGGAAGGATCAATATCGTGGAAGGAATAAGTGAAGCAGGAAATGTAAACAGTGAAAAGAAATTTTAATAGGATCACAGATCTAAGAGCGTAGACGGGACAGTCACATGATCCCAGAATGAAATCCCAGCCCATCTGTCCCCAGGAAAGAGTTCGCAGCCGTACCAGACAGATTGGCGTCTGCTTTGTTCTCACAGATTGACAAAGGAGGAGGGTCCACAGCTTCTCTGTTGACAGCAGTTTTGTACAGTGTCTGAGAACCTCCCTGCCAGTATGTTTGTTGCCTATTGAAATCCTCGTGTTTTGACACCAGCCCTCATTGACTCTTGGGCTCTACGTGGAGAGAATTAGTCCACCTTCACACAGGGCGTCCTCATAAAGGCCACATGGCCCTCACCTGTCCAGTCCAAAGCATCCCAATTATTGTTGTCCTTTTCTTACACGACCTGGATGCTGGTCCTTCCCACACACTTTGTCTCTCTTCAACAAGGGAGTGGATGAAGTAGGCTGTTGGCATCTCACCAAAGGAGAAATAGAATAAGGCTCAGCCCAGATGTTTGGAAGCAGAAAGCAAATTTCCCTTTCTTTTTCTAAAGGCAAAACCCAGACCACGTCATTACCTAGTCCCATGAAAACTCTTATGAAGAAAAATGAAGGTTATCATGGGACATGGACTAAGCATGTCAGAAGAAATAACCTCTTCCTCTGACCCTTTAATCCACCAGATTATGTATTTATTTGTGTGGACTCTTCTCTCATTGCCAGAATATTAGCTCCATGTGCCTTCACGGGGGGGATTTTTTTGTTTGTTCATTTTGCTTTGTTTGCTATTGTGACCCCTTTACCTAGAACTGTACCTGGTAGATGCTCAAAAATATTCGTTGAGTAAGTGAATGAATAGCACTATTGCTTATCAGTGCCTCCAATCCCCTTATCTGGAATTCAATGTTTAGAAAAAATTGTCTTGAAAATGACATGACTTAAAAAAGCTCTCTTTGTCTTTCAACATGAACTTCAGGCATGTTTTCTAGGAATAACTGTGTCAAGCACCTAATCCAGAATTTCCCTCTCAACCTGTTGTGTGAACTATTCTAAAGTATAACATAACAATCAAGGGAATCCCTTTTGCTTTTATTAACTGACTCTTCAGGATTATAGATAAGGGACATAAGGAAGTTTTAATTTGGAATAAAAGCAAGTCATTGGTGCTTCTAAAAGCATTTTGGGGGTCGGATGGATGCCACAAGTAACAGTCTGGAAAATGAGGAAGAGAAACCAGAATAGGGCCAGATGAGAATACTACTAAAGATTAAAAATGAAAATATTAAGAGGACAAAAATTGAGTGCTTAGTAGAAAAGTCTTATTGCTAAACAGGGAAGCCTGTGAGCACAGGGTCTGGGCCCTGGGGATGAAGTGCCCAGAGGTGGATGGAGAGAAAGCACAGGAGGAAAGCCAGGCCTCTGACCAGCTGGTGGTATCCGGGCTTGTCAGTCCGGGGGCCTGGTTTGGCCGTGGTACCCATGTCAGCATCGCACATTTGAGCTGCTTCTCTAAGTGACACGCCTCAGTCATCACCGCATCGCCCGGTGACGCCTTCACCACGTCAGCAGGCTAAGCGGTGAAACGGAACAATGGGCTAGTTTTCACTCTTTTCTTAAATAATTATTTATTGAGACTCCTACTACACACAACCCCATGGATAGGTGAGGAGATTCCCATGTGGACGTGCTCTTAATGGCACTGAATGCCCAGCCCATCATCTGGAGATTAACAGAATAAACACATGGATGTATTTATAGCTAAAAACCAAGCTGAAGGAAAGTAAGACTAGATGAGAATGGATACTAAAGGAATACCAGCCAGTGGGGGACAAAGAGCTGGGTCAAGAAAGGCTTCTCGGAAGAAATGGCCCTTGAACTGAGATTATAAGCATAAATAGGAGTTTGCTGAATGAATAGGGTTGATGAGAGAGAACATGTGCAAATGCATTGTGAGAGGGGACACAAGGGAGAGACTTACTGGTTATCAGAGCATCATAGATGCTGAGCGGCTATCCCAGACCCTCGTTCCAAACAAATTCATCTTTAGATCTAAGACACTAATGTCACACTGGTCTGGTCATTATTTTCTAGGTTATCCCCTCCACTTCTCATTCTTTTCTTTGCTTTGCTTCATTCCTTAAATTTGAAGCACATTTTTGTCTCCTATGCATGTCTTCTTAGTCAAGACGAGCAAAGGTAGAACATAGTCAAGACCCATAGAAGACAGAAGAGGGCAGTGAGAACACTAGCCTATCTGAGACAGGAGATGCTTGTTGGAAAACAGTTGGGGTGGGGGAGGAGAAATCCTGATAATTAGATGGGATCAGATTTTGGAAAGCTTGGGAAACCAGAATAGAGAATTTGGACATGAAAATACAGGCAATTAAATTTTTGTCTCCAGTGAAAAATATGATAAAGGTAATTTTCTGGAAAGTTCCTCTGAGTTTGATATGAAGGACTCATTCAGTTAAAGAATTGTATGTAGTTTCTATGGAGAGGCCTGCGGTGAATTATCTCCTCATATGTACGGAACAGCGAAGAGTTGTTTCTTAATGTAGGATGCATGTTCTATGCTCCAGATTACCCCAGGATGTTTGTTAAAATGAAGCTTCTGGGGCCCTATTCTAAATCTACTGAATCAAAATCTCCGGGATAGAGCCTGGGCCTTTGCATTTTAACATGCACCCCCGGTGAACTGTGCCCAGTAAGGGCAGAGAACTGGTGGGCTGAAACAGAAGCAGAAGACGCTGAAGTCGGAGCCTCCAGCTGGGCTGCTATTGTGGTGGTGATCCAGTGATTACAGCACGGAGACTACAGGGTTACCAGGGGGATTCAGGAGCAGGGGTAACCCTGAGAACTACTTCAAAGGAAACAGAACCCAGGAGGCAGAAGTCTGGATTTGGGAAATAGATGAGAGGAAAGGGTCTAGGAGAACTGTCATCGCTGCCTCCTGAGTGGAAGCTAGTGACCAGAGCACTCTGAGGCCCCTGATCTCAGTGACATTTTTGGCAGTGAGAGGAGAGCAAAGCTGAGGGCTGTGCTTTAAAAAATTGGAAAAGGGACGAGAAAGGTGGCTATGGAGAGTAAGAGTAATCTGACCTACAAAACTGAGGGCGCTGGCAATTAGAATACAGGAGACTTATTGTCCAAGAAGTTGGCATCCACGCTCTTCTCAGCTTCAAGGTGCTTAACAAAATGAAGCGGGATCAGGGAGGCAGACAGATGGCAGAGGAGGTGACCTCAAGCAGGGAAGCCGAACAAAAATCGAGAGGAGAGGAGTTGGAGTTAAAAGCAAGAAAGATTTGAATCCAGGGAGAAAACAGAAAGAAGAAAGACAATAAATTTAGGGACTTTTCAAATTATAAAAGTTGTTATTTGCCAGCAATTCTGAATAGGAAGGAAAACAGAAGATAGGTGGGGCATGTAACCAAAACTTATATTGCTCTAATAGTCCGTAAAGCTTTATCACCTTGCCACATATAGGTATAAGACTTAGGGACTGGGGAAGAGAAAGTTAGTTGCCTTTGCAACCTTTCTCCCCCACTAGGAAGTGTGAAATATTATAGTATTCTATACCATGAAAGTATGCTTTCAACATTTGACTACGGTATCACTAGTAAAATTGTTTGAGTATATCTCTATCTTTCAAATAAGTGTGGCTTTGAATAAGAGATGCTCATTCTACCACTGCTTTTCAGTCCAACATTTATAAAGATATTTAATTCCTGTGCACACGGAGGAGTAGTCACAGCAAACGACAGTGGCACGCTAAACTCAGGAGCTCAAGCCTTGAAAGCTTACCTGCTCAAGGGTTATTTAGTTTTCACAATCTTAAGTTAGTAACAATTGGCAATAAAGCTTGTTAAAATTCCTTTTGTTCTGGATCTATTGTGTTGGTTTTGAAGCCCCATTTGTTCCAAAATGATTGAAGCCGACATCTCCACCTAGTGGGCTGATAGAATTTTACAGCTTTTATAGAAATGGCCTACTACCTCTCCGGAAATCCTTAATTTTTTTCCCTCTTTGAGAAATAGCAGGTTTTAAAGCCTTCTACTTAGGATCTAGCATAATTGTCAACAGAACAGTTGCGAATGGTTGAAATATGCCAATATGCATATCAGCTAGACTACAGTTAACAAACAAAGCTCAATTTTTATTTTCATACCGTAATTAGGAAAACAGATCAGGCACAAATATGAATATGTAATCATCTGGGTAGAAAGCAATATTGTAATACCACTAATTGAGATGTGTATAGTCATTTCCATAAAATAAACATCAAGTGTAAATCTGCTCAAGTACTTTTTTCTTATTTACTTCTTGTTTGCTTAAGGCTTTTTTTTTTAATGTTTGCTTTCTTTTCCAGAACGAGGCCCAACTCTGCCTTCTCGTTTCCCCATTCTTTAGAGAAGCAAACTCAAATAATGGGGTCAAACATATTTTGTGGCTCTATCTTAGATATTTGCATTA